GTGTAGCGGTGTAGCGTAGCAGTGTAGCGGTGTAGTGTAGCAGTGTAACGGTGTAGCGTAGCGGTGTAGTGTAGCAATGTCGCGGTGTAGCAGAGGTTTTCTGGGTATGTTCTTAGCAGTTCTAAGTAATAAATAAAATATATGAGTAGCCATATGTTGTATATTACAATATACACAAACGTCTAGCGTTATTTCCCTTTTTTTTTTTTCCACTGAACTTTTGAAGATAAAAGTGAATCTTCCCAAGAAAATAGAAGTGAAAATAGAAAAAAAAAGTTAAAGTTTATGCAAATAAACAAGAATTATAAAACTCTTCACGGTCATGATTCCTATTGTGTCTCCTTAGGAATTGTTATGTTTGTTAATATTCGCATGTATACACCTACTTCAAACAAAAATAATAAAATAAAAAGAAAGAAAGAAAGAAAGAAAGAAAGAAAGAGTTTTCGGAGCGAACAGAGATACGATAGCGATATGATAGGTCTTTCCAAGACGGAAAGGAATYATGGCATACATAATTCAAATAAATTTCGTCGACTACAAACAACCAAACAACAAACGACACTGAGTGTCTTAACACTAAGCTCTGTTATCTTGAGGAGAATAATAAGAAAGACTAGAATAGCTGGTTATTCCGCCATAGCCATCTCCTATCGCTTATCGCCTATCATTCCAACAACTTTTTTTGAATAGGCATAAATAGGAATGTGTTTTCATTAGGACAATTTAAACTAGCTTAAATATAACACCGGAAATAAGGAAAAGTTAAACTACCTAGCAAGATGGTTTAAGTTGTCCTACCAAATAAATGGGCTAATCACAGTGTTATTCTTGAAAGGTGGTTGTCGGATTAAAACACCTCCAGGAATTTTAGGCAAGTTAACATTTCTAGTGAAAACACAGCCTATTATGGCTCCGATTAAAATAAAGCGTGTTTGGATTCGTTTGCTCGCGTGCCTAACGGCTTCAACTTGTTAATTCTAAGCCCAATACTTTTAATCCGATAAAATATGGCTGGGGCGTTCATTTTTACACTTCAATGACTGAACCAAAAACACGAAAYCGAAATTTTCGTTTCCACTCAATCTCTTCGAATTAAAAAAACACTCATTGTGGTCAAAAAAATAGATATAGACTCAACAAATAGAATGTTGTTGAGATTTGAAAGATGCACAAAATTTAACATTGAGAAAGTTGATGTAAATTCAAAAAAGGCTCCACGCATTACCATGACAACGCGAGCTTCAAGGTTCCTCGAGTGCATCGAGTTGTAAAAAGCAACATGGCATTTAGTTATGAGTTTGGTTTGAATTCTGTTCCAATATCTGTCAAACCTTTTAAAAGCTTTCCTAACGGTCGGTCATAGATAATTAATGCAAAACGTCGTTATGATGTCTAAAATCAAGTTTTTAATGAAGTTTATTTTTATTTTCAAAATGTCTAAAAAATGCATTATCAATAGATAGAGGGGAAAGCATTTATCAATAAAGATGTTATTTATGTTCTTGGTTATTAGAGCTATTTAAGTCTTGGCCATCAACAGAAAAGGTGTGTTGCTAGAACATATAATATACCTCTGCGTTCCTTTGACATGTATCGACTTTCCACGGTCAGAATAAAAAGAACCAACATCATCAGTGCTAAAAGCAGCTTTTTGGCCATCGTGAAGTTAATGTGTTACTCGAACCTGGCAAGAGAAAAATGTAGAACTGATCTATCATATGTTACATTATCATTATTCACATTCTTATTTATGCCATGCATATTCAGAAGCAATTTTTTGAAAGATCTATAGAAATACTGTTATAGTTTGAGAATGGGCTCCGTAGCGTTTTATCTTCAAACATGCCAGGAAAGCTAAAGATATAACCTTGAAAAATATCACTCACAAAATTGTCAAATTTTAAAAATGGGCTAGCTAGTTACCCCCTAAGATTATACTTATCATTTTTACAATTACTAATTTTTGATTTAAAAAATTTAAATTTAATCTAAAAATTTAATTTTGATTGTCATTTGAGGCAAGTTTTCTAGTTCGTTAGGTTTCAAATCTTTCAAATTTCAATTTGAGAAAAGAATACCAAGTTTAAATTTAAATCGAGAAAGAAGTTAAAAGAGAACTCGAGAAACAAATTTCAGGGATTTAAGTGAATTAGATTTTGAAAGCGTCTTAGAAAATTAAATCTGTCCAAGCAAAGGTCTCAAGAAATAGAAAATAAAATTACCTTACCTTAAGAAACTGAACACCTTTCTGTACGCTCACTGATTAGGAAATGTGCCGTTGAAACACTGATAGCATACTTAAGTAGGCTTGCTTTTTTGGATATGACGTAATGAGTGATACAGTTGTGGTTTTTGCAGCGTCCTCCATGTGATTTTATCCATATTTGTACGGCGTGTATCATTATGCTATGARTACCCATTCAAGGAGTTATTATCAGAGCAGCTTGAGTGCATTGTATAAAAGAATAACCAACCAACCACTTAAAAGAGGTTTCTTGAGTACATCCTTAACTGTCTCCTCTAGGGTATTTATAAATGAGTCGGTCGATGTAGAGGTATGTGTCGCACTACACCTTTACTACGACCACTACTACGGGTATCCTCCATTATATTGAATAAACGTTTACAAATAGTATAGCATTATTCTATCCTGTAAGCCAAAAAGATGCCGAAATGTGTAATGAATAAAAGAAGGTACCGACTTGGAATGATTCGCTAGAGTGCATTTCAAAATTCGATAGGATTCTGCTTTTATTTCAGTGTAATTTTAAACGGCCTTCTTTAATTTCTGCAGAGGAGCTGTGTTGAACTACCACTCATTGTCAGCATGGATCCGAAGCATCTCAATAAAATATAATATCATGGCAAGTTATCTTTTAATAAAATGTAAAAACGACATACTTCTTTTTAGTT